CGATCCACTTTTAAAACAAAGTCAAATCAGTAACAAATCAGTAAAGCCTAGAGTGGCATCGGCCTAAAAGCATTTAAAATTCGTTAAAGATAAAAGAAAATAAAAAAAATAACCGATTCAATTTCAAAAAGGGGTTTAAAAATCCCAAAACGTAATTTTGACTTTCACAAATAAAGCTTCAAAATGTGACGAGTAAAACTTTAAAACGTAGTCCAAACATACCATTAGAAAATGCTCCAAGTACGGTTCATCCAATCAATGGACCGACCTTCACAGCAAATGTGAATATTCACCACATTAAGATTTGCAGCTAGGGGCAATAAAGAGGAAAACTAATCCCTAATCAAACATTTTCAATCACAAAAGAATTAAAGGAAAAGATTCAAATCCAGGAGAAATGAAAAGAAAGCTAAATCCGAGCTAAATACAATACTGACAGCAGCAATGAACCTAACGGCCAAAGGCAAAACCAAAGGCAGAAAAGAGGGAAACAAACTTCATGCACGACCACGAATAGTGAAAGAGAACCCTCATGGGTATTATCATTATATTGTCTTTCATATACATAGGAGAGTGAATGGGCAAGCATGACAAATAAAGGAAAACATACCAAAAACAGGCTTCCAAATAACTCACGGGTAAGGCTCACAAAAAGGAACAAAATCACCACAAAGCCAGCCATCAAATAATCACCAAACAGCATCTATATGGGCCCAATCATCAACTACCTGAGTGCAAACAATAATTACAACACCCAAACAACTAACTACAGCGATTAATGACACTTTTAAGATTCCAAACTGCTCCAAACAAGAATTATGAACTTCCCATAGCCAACAACAACTTCCTACAGTTTAAAAGATCACAAACAAGTTTACGGCTACAGCCAGGAAAAGGGGCAACCCGAGCCCAACACAAAGAGCTTCAAGTTCAACTTGCGGCCAAGGACAAACACAAGGATAACTCGCGGCCAAGGACAAACCCAAGGACAGTTTTAAAGTAGTGAACACCAAATGAGGTTTACGGTAAAGCAGCAAACCAAAGCCTACTAAGCCAACAAAGCCACCGAACCAAGCCTCAAATAAGCTCATAAGTAAAACTAGGGAGAAGAGCAAAACAGTCACCAAACCAACCCCAAACCAGACTTAAATAAGCTCTAAACTAGCTCACGGGTAGAACCTGGAAGAGGAGCAAAGCAACCACCAAACCATGCCCAAGAAAATGGGCAAACTGAGCAACAAAGAGGCTGAACCAAATCCAGCAAAAAGGGAACAAAACAGTAAAGGATTTCAGCCAACATAAATCACTAAAAGGAGCCCAAACCGAGCCCAGGAAAAGAGCCAACCGAGCCCAGGACAAGGGGCAAACCAAGGCCTAAGAAATAATCTCAACTGTAAAACATTTCAGCCCCCATAAATCACCAAAAGGAGCCCAAACCGAGCCCAACATAGGGGCAAGACTAAGCCCAAGGAATGGTCAAACAGTGAAGAATTTCAGCCAGCATAAATCACCAAAAAGAGCCCAAGTAAGTCCAGCTAAGGGACAAACCGAAACCATTAAATGGGTCAAAAATATCATAAAACTTTCCAGCCAACATTCGATCCAAAAAAAGAAGACAGAACCGAACCCAACCGATGGGAAAACATGGAAAAAAAAATTTCCATTTGTAATTTGATTCAAAAGAAACCCAAGCCGAACCCAACACATGGGTAAACCGAGTCCGGCGTATGAGCAAAAAAAATGCAAATATCTCTTGCAAGAATCCATCTCAAAAAGAGTTAAAGCCGAACCCAATAAGTGAACTAAATGAAATGTCATTTTCAGTTATTATGAGGCCAAGGCCGAGCCCTACAAAAATGTGCTAAAACATAGAAAATTTTCCAGCTAACATTTAATCCAGCATAACCAAAATCGAAACCAAGGCAGCGGCAAAACAGAGAAAATTTCCAACGTATGTTTCAAACACTGATAGGCAACATGAAATATATGAGCTTGAGCCAATCATTCATTTTTGAACATAAGTAATAAAGGAGTTTGATAACCCATTCTAACATGCATTTCGAGAGGGGCAAATCTCATCTCAAAACCACCATTACGATATTTCCAAATATCTCAAGCAAGAAAAACAAAGATAGCCGACACATGCTTTGTTTTCACCATTTCTAGTGAGTATCCATGCTTAAATTTCAAAATAAGCCTAAGCTTCACTTCCAAATACTTTTTATAAGAGAATGGAGATGCCTTTAGATGCCATCCGAAATAGTGTAAAATAGAGGAGGGGAGAAAAATACTTCTTAATGCCGACTTAAAGCAAAAAAAGTGTAAGAAAGATCCAATAAAGTGCCTCCCAAAGAAATCTTCTTCCTAAAAAAACTTAAAAAAAATAGCAACCGACAAATCCTTTAAACTTCCAGCACACCAGAAGCTAGCCAAACAGAAATTTCGACAGAGCTTTCTTTTTGAAAGCTTTGAGAAACAGCCACCAACGGATGCTCCACACCCCAACACGCGAAAATCAAATTTTAGATAAGATGTTAGTAGAGCTTTCTCCTCCAAAACTTCCCACAGTAAAGAAGAAAGAAAACAGTCTCTCGGACAGCAAAGCGAAAAGAACCAGCCTCACAACTGCACAAAAGCAACTCCTCTCCTTTCAGACTTTTCTCAAGACAAAACAAG